GGCCTGTCTTTGAGATAGTCAATGAATGGACCCCATACACTCAAAAATCGTCTGGATACTTTTGTGTTCTGGCGTACAGCAGTATTCTCTCCATTTGTATCATTCTGATCATTTTGTTGAGCAATTTCTGAAAACAAGAGGGTGTTGGCGATTTCCCACTGGTTAGAATCATCCTCTTGACGGCGAGCACTCCATGCATCAATGCCAATTACTCCTCAGATGTATAGTTCAAAACAGACTCTGAGCGTCTGAACAGTGCCAGCTCAGGATTGGGGGAAAATTCTTTCCATTGACATTGGAGAACCTCCGAAATATTTCACACCAAAATTTGTGTAATTGAAGACAGGGCCAGAGAAGATGTGTTTAAGAGCCCTGTGCAGCTTTGCATCTGTCACGTAGTGGGGAAACAGATGGATGAATTCGGAAATCGAGCAGTGGAGTCTATGGATGGCTTTGTGCTGAATCACTTCAATCAAGCAAGTTTGAGTTCTAGATAAGGCTTTATTCCAGATGTTGTCAGCAGTGTTGGGCTTGTTACTCTAAAAATGGAATAGAGCACTCATTACTTGTTACTCTTTCAAAAGTCAAAATATTACTTTACTTATTACTCCCTGCCAACAGCAGTTTGTAGCACTACTTGTTACACAAGTTTTATATTACACCCCATAAAACTGTTAATGCATATCTCCCCAAAATTCAGATGTGTGCCTCTGTGTGAATATTAGGGTAACTGCCATTAATATAAGTGTAGCTAAGCTAGCTGAATCACTTGCAAATTATATATTTTTTTTTTTTACCTGGGGATCTTCTGTTGCCTATGACCTGTATTTTCCCAGGGCTCTGCCTGGAAGACAGAGAGTCAATCATGGAGCAACATTTCATCCTCCGCAATCCAGTCACAAGCTTCATTACTTGTTTTAGCATGCAGCTGCCCACGATTAAAATCCATTCATATCCATCCATTGTTTTGGTTGTTTAGCCAGTGTAGCGCTACAGCCGACCTCCACGGCCGAGGAGGGCTCACCTTTGGTGGGGTGTATCTCCTGGAGCTTCATGTTGCTGTGCTGTCGGTCGTAGCTGGTGTTTCAGAGCGTTTGAGGACGTGTTTTCTGCAGTGGAAAGAGTTTTAGTACGACTACCTGCAGCAACAGTGTTCTTGTCATCCTTTCTCCCAACAAATCAAAGTAATGGGAATATTTCCAGCCACATGGGTAAGGGTAAGCGTTTCCATCTTGTGACGTCCCTGTGCCGACGATTATGAAAATGAGTCCACTGATGTGATGTTCCATTTCAAGTATTGTGTAACTAGTTGTTTGGTTTTGGGGCAACTGTAATATTATTACTAAAATGTTATTAGTGATTACTTTAACTGCTCATTATTGGAAAAAGTAATATTATTACTGTAATGCTGCCCAACACTGGTTGTCAGACACCTCAGGATTCAGTTCATTGGACCAGGCTTCTTTCAGATAGTTAGTGGATACTGAAATTGTCAATAGACATAGAAACATAGATATCAGGTGTTTGGAGTCTGCAGGAAGCTGCAGGAGCTTGAACAGGAAAATCTGTGGCATGGTTTCATAATTTGGAATTCTGACTTAGAGTCTAATAGGGGCGTCGATGGCTTAGTGGTTAGAGCAGGCGCCCCATGCACAGAGGCCCAGTCCTTGCTGCAGCTGCCTGGGCTCAACTCCGGCTTGCGGCCCTTTGCTGCATGTCATTCCCTCTTTCTCCAACCAACAACCAATAAAAAATCAGAGTCTAATTTGGATATAGTGGGGAAAAAAAGGGAATCTGGGATGTTGAAATTAATTTTCAATTGATTAAATGATTCAAATGTTTTGCCTTTAGGTCACCAAAGGTCACAATTCCCCTGTGCAGTGAGACAGCAAACGGCCCATTCATCTGAGATGGCAAAAAGGAATGGTTGTGACTCACAGGAGTGTTGATAACAGGAGTAATGATCATAGCAAACACTGTTTCAGTTTGAGCATTATTATTTTATGTGGTCTTCTATAAAAAAATGATTTAAAAAAAACCCAGTCTAGATTTCTGTGCTCCTGGTGCACAGCATGAGCCATGAATCAAACATACAGTAAAACGTCATGAGAAAAATGCGGCCCTGTTATAGTGATTACTGGCCAGTGTTTATTTTTGACATGTCTCAGAAATCAACGGGCAGAAATTAAGCAGATACACCAGGCTTGTCTGGAACAGCGCAGTACGGGCAATAATTCAATACAGCTAATAGAATGTACCGTCGCTGTTTCAGTGAATGAAATAACATTTTACAGCCACTCCAAGCAAACATGGCTGCAGATGGAGTCCCTTATCGGCCCGCCTCAGGAAATTGGACATATAAACAGAGCCCTGAAAACCGTTTATTTAATTGATTAGGACTTCCTTTATACTGTTATTGGTGCACTGCCATGCCTAATACACACCCGATTTGGCTAAGGAATATAAAGATGTTGCACAGTGCCAACAGTCTGAGCCAGTCTGCTGTATAGTTGATGTACAGTATTGCCTTTGGCGTGGATTATGTCTAAAAAATGGGCTAAATTTAGACTTTATAGCGAGGCGTTCTATGGAACAAAAGCAGTCAGGAGCTAAATCATGGCTTATTGCTACCTGCAAAAGTAAGCCATTACATTATGTAACATGTCTTGTACATCATGGCCGTCAAAACAGTATATTACTGGTGAGATTTAGAGCTCCCGAGCAGTCGAGGGTGCAGGAGTTGGAAAATATTCTTGGCAAACTTCAGCTTTCGTAGCTTTCAACACTGCCTCATTTCTCAGGAGTATCCCTTATTTTTCATGTGAATTTCTGCGGAGGTGAAGGTTGTGATAGTTTTTCCGACGTCGCTGATTAGTCCAAGAAGAGGGAAGAAAAAAATCCGTCATGTTTGCAGTGCAGCTTTGGCAGTTTTTGCTGTGTCACTGCAGAGAGAAACGAGGGCCTAAAGGGTTTGGATATTAGAAGGTAGATCAAGAGAGACTGATTTCCAAAAAAACACTGGGCTTTGACGCAGAACTTTTAATACTCTTTTTTTCATTCCCTATCCCTGACGCTCTTCTCTCTCTTTGTCTCTGTCTTACCTAAACACACACACACACACACACGCACACAAACTCCAGCCCTGAGGTCCTGTTTCCGGTTGGGGGTGTATGAGAGAGACTAGCCAGCATCTGTGTGGGACTGGAGCTTATTACACACACACATGTTCCTGTGAGCATTGTTTATGTGTGTGTGTGTGTGTGTGTGTGTGTGTGTGTGTGTGTGTGTGTGTGTGTGTGTGTGATTTGACTCTGAGCATCATGTTGCTGCTTAGTTTCTCTGTTTCCTCAGATTTTTTTTTTGCAAAAGCAGGAACACTCATAAAAATTCCACCAGATGGAAAAAACATGTTACTGTTTCATATCACACTGGGGTTTATTCACACAGCACACATAAGATACATACACGGCTGCACACATGTAGCAGGCGAGCATGCAGACACACACACACACACACCACCCTTGTGTAGTGTTGCTGTAAACTGTGACTTGTGGACAATACAAGTGTTGTTCCTAACAATCGTTTTTAGAGCTTTTGCTCTTATAAAGCTGTCGTTCACGCCTTTACGATGGCTGTTTTCTTTATGTAAACTCTTGTTGCACCCCACACACACCCACACACACACACACACACACAGGACAACTAATCACGTTGAGTCTAAATCCAAAGGGGATTTGTTTTTCCTAAAGCGCTGCTTTGTGTTGAGTGTTGCGAAAGAGGAATATATGCATTTTTTAAGAATATATGGATTAACTCATTCCTGACAGAGGCATAAAAGTAGGACATGAGCTCAGGAAAACGGACACAGAGGCCGCTCTGTTTAGTGTGGACATATGTGTCATAAATCCGTGTAAATACATGCAATGCAAACACTGTTTTCGGAATTCATTAATCCAGATTTTTATGGTAAGGTACAAGTTCTGCTGTATCATAGCCGGCTGATGGATTGATGGTTTTGACTGTTGATTTCTATACGTGAGCACGCACAAATAATTATCGGTGTCCTCCCAATATAGATGTATAAATGTTCACATTTATACACATTTGTTTGTGAGGACCCATATTGACATACTGCATTCCCTAGTCCAGGAGTAGGCAACCTGTGTGGTTCTGGAGCCACATGGGGCTCTTTAGTCTCTCTCCAGTGGCTCTGTGTGGCTTTTACAAAATATGATATGGAAATGAATAAGTTATTTTTAAAGATTTTTCATTGCTGTAGGCCTACAGTGATTCCTACATTTCCCTGTTGGAGCCTATCCCGGCTGACATTGGGCGAGAGGCAGGGTACACCCTGGACAGGTCACCAGACTATCACAGGGCTGACACATACAGACAGACAACTATTCACACTCACATTCACACCTACGGACAATTTAGAGTCACCAATTAACCTGCATGTCTTTGGACTGTGGGTGGAAGCTGGAGTACCTGGAGAAAACCCACGCTGCACAGAAAGGCTCCCCCACCCTGGGTTTAAAGCAGGAACCCTCTTGCTGTGAGGCAACATTGCTAATCTTTGCACATCATAGATAGCTTGGCAGTGTTGGGGTACATTTTGAGCCAATCTCTTTGGTTTTTAGGTTTCATTTTTGCTGTGATATGATCAGATTGGATTTCCATGTGTGCCAGACTCTGTGACTGAACAACCTGGTCCTTCAGTGCAGCTCTTTTTTTCCATTTTAATCTCGCTTTTGTCTTCAAACATCACAAGTTTATACAGTATGGTTCATTGCCAATGGAGGAAAACAATCAAACATTACCTACTGATAAAATCTTTTCTGTGACATGGTTGTATTGGTATTGTTTTGAGACAGTGAGCAGTGTTACAGATCAGTGCTTGTGAAAAATAAATGACATTTTCAGTACCTCCACATACACAGATTACAGATTACAGGGCAAACACTGAACCTCCTGTAATGTCTCGTGTTATCTCCTTTCAGAAAGCACCACTGCCACCATGGATGACGAACAGTGCTACTACAACGAGACCATCGCCTTCTTCTACAACCGCAGCGGCAAGTACCTTGCTACTGACTGGAACACTGTCAGCAGGCTGGTGATGGGCCTGGGCATCACCGTGTGCATCTTCATCATGCTCGCCAACCTTCTGGTGATGATCGCCATCTACGTCAACAGGAGATTCCACTTCCCCATCTACTACCTGATGGCCAACCTGGCAGCTGCTGACTTCTTCGCCGGCCTGGCCTACTTCTACTTGATGTTCAACACGGGACCCAACACGCGGCGCCTCACTGTTTCCACGTGGCTGCTGCGCCAGGGCTTGATCGACACCAGCCTAACGGCGTCCGTGGCCAACTTGCTGGCCATCGCCATCGAGCGCCACATCACCGTGTTCCGCATGCAGCTACACACGCGGATGAGTAACCGGCGTGTGGTGGTGGTGATTGTCATAATCTGGACCATGTCCATAGTCATGGGGGCCATCCCCAGCGTGGGGTGGAACTGTATCTGTAGCATTAAGTCTTGCTCCAACATGGCACCGCTTTACAGCAACTCCTACCTGGTCTTCTGGGCAGTGTTTAACCTAGTGACTTTTGTCGTCATGGTGACGCTATATGCCCACATCTTTGTGTATGTGCGCCAGAGGACCATGAGGATGTCGCGGCACAGCTCTGGACCTCGACGCAACCGAGATACGATGATGTCTCTGCTGAAAACCGTGGTGATTGTACTGGGTAAGGAAGAGATCTAATGTTTTCTTTATAATCTATCTATCTATCTAGCTGTTGTATCTCTATCTAGCAAGCTACATACACTGTGCATATCTAGTACTCTATCTCTGTAGCAGTGAGTGCGACAGTTGGCATCAGCAGCAGCAGAACAATGAATCTGTTGATGGGTCCGTCTGTGAGGCTGTATCATTCAGCACAAACACAGTGTCTGCCTAGCACGAGTGTAAGCCTCAAATACATCATCTCAGCCAACCCTGTCCCCTTACAAATTACGTTAACATGCTGTGATTCTGCATGAGCAGTTGAATATGTTCTGTTAAACAACTGCATTTTATTTTGCTGATGCCAAAATGTGGATATGAGTAGCTACAATGTCTAGAGGATGCAGTCTTCGGTGAAGAAGTGGAATAGATAGAAAGAATGCCATAGAACTTTGGTAGCAAAATCCTTTTCTTTGTTTCCTGGAGTAAATGAAGGAAGATGGAACGGATACCCACTTCTGCAAATTTGGTGGGAAAGTACCTGAAAAGGTTTAGGAGAGATAGGAGTAAGATAAGAAAGGAGCCTGCAGATAATTTTCATGACATCCCTTTACAAGCCTTTAAATGTGTTGGCTTTAACTATGGGTCGATGATGAGACTATGGGCCCCTGGGCACAGATATGAAGAGGGCCCCACCACCTGTGCTACAGACGAACAAGACACATAGACTCTGTGGAGGTTTTGTGTCTCTTTGTGGTCATTGTGTGTCTCTCTGAGGTCATTTTGTTTCTTTTTTGGTCGTTTTCTGCCACTTTGTAGAAATTTTGTGCCTCTTTGTGGTTGTTTTGTGCGTCCTTGTAGTTGTTTGGGTCTTTTTGAGGTAATTTTGTGTCTTATGTGGTCATTTTTTTGGACACTTTGTAGTATGTTTGTGTCTGTTTGTGGTTGCTTGGCCATGGTTGTAGATATTTTCTGTCTCTTTGCAGTTCTTTTGCATCTCTGTGTGGTCTTTATGCATCTCTTTGTTGTCATTGCGTGTCTGGTTGATGTTGTCTTGTGTCTTTTGTAGTTGTTTGGTTCTCTCTGAAGAACGTTTGTGTCTTATTGAGGTAATTTTGTGTCTTTTTTGGTCGTTTTCTGCCTCTTTGTGGTTGTGTGTCTTCCTAGTTGTTTTGTGTCTCCTTGTAGTTGTTTGGGTCTTTTTGAGGTAATTTTGTGTCATTTTTTGGACACTTTGTAGTAATTTTTTGTCTGTTTGTGGTTGTTTGGCCATGGCTATAGATATTTTCTGTCTCTTTGCAGTTCCTTTGCATCTCTTTGTTATCATTTCGTGTCTACTTGTTGTTTTGTTTCTTTTGTAGTTGTTTGGGTCTCACTGAAGTACGTTTGTGTCTTATTTAGGTAATTTTGTGTCTCTTTTGGTTATTTTCCATCACTTTGTAGTAAAGTTGTGCCTTCTTGTAGTTGTTTTGTTCTTTGTTAGGTAATTTTATGCTTTTTGGTTGTTTTTTGCTGCTTTGTTGTAATTTTGTGTCTGTTTGGAGTTGTTTTGTGTCACTTTGTGGTTGTTTGGCCATGTTTGTAGTTATTTTGTGTCTGTTTGCAGTTCCTCTGCATCTCTTGTGGTCTTTTTGTGTTTCCGATGTAATTTTGTGTCTTATTGAGGCAATTTTGTCTCTTTTTTTGGCTGTTTTCTTTCGCTTAGTAGTAATTATGTGCCGCCTTATGGTTTCTTTGTGTGTCTTTGTGGTTGTCTTGTGTCTCCTTGTAGTTATTTAAATCTTTTTGAGGTGATATTGTGTCTTTTTTGGTCATGTTTTGATGCATTGTAGTAATCTTTGTTTCTTTGCAGCTTCTTTGCATCTATTTGTGCTCCTTTTGAGTCTCTTTCTGGTCAGTACATGTTAATTTGAGGAACATTTTGCAGATGAAGGCCCAGGGGCCCCTGACACTGTTGGCCCCTGGCCTTGTGCACCGTAGGCCTGTTTAGTAATCCATCCCTGGCCACAATACAGTGCACTCAAGTCTAAGGTAAACTGTGCATTAGGGCATTAACAAAAAAGTTGATTTGTCGACGTGTCGATGTCAGTGGCACAAGTCGACACCCCCCGGGAGGAGTCGACAATTCTCTCTCTGTGTGCTTGTGTACGGAATGCAATCGCTGCCTCTGATTGGCTTAAGCTGATACTTTATCCTTGACTTAACCAATAGTCATAGTCACTTCATAAAAAGGGCGGTAACGTTACTTGGCGCGTAGAGGGGAAATTAACACAAGACCACAACAAGACAAGAGACATGGCTGCAGATAACGTAGAAGGTGATAGGCCTGAGAAAACGCCTGAAGGCCCGAACGTACTCGGGCGGAACGTACGCGGAACGGACTCTGCGGAGGTCCGCGCAGACTCAAAGCAGACGTTCGCAAGACCGGTGCGTGCAAAGCTCAGATTTTACGACCGCGCGACATGCTCGGCATGTATTTTTCACATCGCAGGGATTTTTCACGGACACTTTTACAGGAAACTACAACACGGAAGTGCGCTCGACTATGAAAGCCCGAATGACTGCTGACATTCCTCGCGGAGTCTGCTCCACTAATAGTATGCCCAAGTATGTTCGGGCCTTGAGAGTGACAGACACACATCAAATGTGTGGAGAGACTTCACTTTCCTCCGCCGTGTCAATGTGATGACGTCATCAAATGACTCGTCGACTCGACTTAGACTTTATTGACAGATAAGTCGACCTGAAAAAAATCAAAGTCATTAATGCCCTACTGTGCATAGATACTTGGAGTATTATCAGTATTCACTGATGCAAAATTAGAATCCAAAATGTGGCGTCTGACCATGACTACATTTAATAGCAGCTTGATATCACATTAGGAGTTTTTAAATCTTCAAATGTACAGATTCTAAGCTGCAAAAAACACCCCTCCAATGAAATTCAAGTTTTTAACCTTGGTAACATGTCCATGTGGTGTTTTTATTCTATAAGACATATCACAAGCAAAAAAAAAAGCAGTCAACACCATGGCTGAGCCTCTCCGCCTTGAAACTGCAGTGTACAAGTAACAGTGTTAAAAACACAAATTCAGACAGCCAGGTTTTCATAAGCCACATATCTAAGGAATCAATCCCGTCAACTTCCAAAACCAGGTGGATCAGAGAAGAAGCCAGGTGTAGCTCGGTATCAGTATTTTGCCAAATAGTATTCACTCTACTGCCTGACCTGGCGATAGGGAGCAAGGTTTATCCAACACATGCTAATAAAGAAAACGAACGCACATCAAGGGTTGTAGTGAGGCGTTGATGACTTGCAGTAGGCTTGAAAATGGGAAACAAGTACACTCTTTGGCTCTATATGGATCTCTCTTTTATTCAGGCCCTCAGGCCCTCTTCAAGATCAATTATCATAGTCAGATGCAGCTGTTATACAGGCCACACCCAAGTCACACAACTGATAGTGATGAGGTAATCAGGCTTCAACTTTAGGGTGAGCAAGTTAAAACCTTGAAACAAAACAGTTACAGGAGCCACAGCCAATGAATTACTTCAGATCAAATGACAGCCACCATATCTCACGCCAGATATCAGTTTAACATGCAATTTTTTTAGAATCAGAAATACTCTAATGTAAAGAATAGAGAATTATAAGAAGTAAGAATAAAGTGTGTAAATATAGAGCAATGAATAAAATAAAGATGAATGAAAAGTGCATTAAAATAAAATGTGCATGTTTAACACTAGTCCTTGAGATATATCAAGTAAAATATTAAATAAAATAACTGTGCTGATGCTGTAAGTGTTAAAAATTAACTACAATATATACATCAGTAGAATAAACAACAATAGAATATGAGTAAACATAAGAAATATGTAGTTATGTGTATCGTTCAATTCAATACTTGCACAGAAGTATTTAAAAATGTTAAAATACATAATAGATAAAGAGCAAAAATGAAGACATTGGCCATTAATAAACATAATTAACAACACTAAATATCCAAAAATTCAAAAAAAAAAAGCATTTCAAGTCATAGTTTATATTCAGTCCATGAGGTGACAGGGTTCTCAGACGATGGATCCAACTGTGTTCCCTCCTGGAAAGTAAAACGGTTTTAAATTGTTGAAGGCCTCTTGATTGTGTTTTGCTCTCCCTGATGCATTATTACCTAATGAGTATCAGCTGTGTGAGCAGGGTGTGGCCTATATAACCAGTGAGTGTGCTTGTGTCTCACTTTGCTTGTTGGAAGTATTGTCTAAATAAAAGAGAAATGCACATGGAGCCAGAGTGTGCAACACATATCTGACATTAGCAACACATTGGTAGCTGTTTGGGAACCAACTGAAGTCAAAGGCGTGTGCTATCTCTTACCATTAGGCTTCTAACATTGAGTAAAGAGTGAGGCTTGAGCTGCAGGTGAGCAGCCGGTGGAGATAGATGTGGGACTAGTTTGCATCCAAATTCCAGAAACATCATCCAGTGTAGTATTTTATTATCCTATGCTCCAGTTGTTGGTTGTTGTTAACACATTAATGCAGCCCAAGCCTCTCTTCGCATGAAACAGCGTCTGTTTTATTTTCAAGCCGAGCTGTGTGTGTGCAGCCTGACAGTTTTATGTTTAAGCATTCAGCTGAGAGACGTTTCCCACCATGCAAGTCTCCAGGCCTCTTTGGCAGTTTGCAATAAATGGAAGCATTGCTGTTTTGTACATTATAACAGTGGCACACTAACTCGGCGTTGTGTGTGGAGCAAGTCAGAGTGCGTGCATTGTGGGAAAAGTACTTCTTACTGCCTGGGAGCAGGATGTGTTGGTCCTAGACAAAACATACCAAAGGATTGTGTGTGATTTGTCTCCTATGTGCTGTGTTATCTCATCCTGTTGCCTCTGTTGTCTTTACTCCAGACTTAATTCAAAGCAGTGGACAGCAGCAATGTGCTCTGCAGCCTACAGTATTTATAAAAACTGGAGGACGACGAGATGCTTTGTTTGGTTCTACTTACCCTGTTGTTTTGCAGAGA